GGGGGGGGTCTTCCCAGCTGCGGGTGTTGGATGGTTGCGGCACAAGATGGTGTCCATCACCTTGGCTTTGTGCTGGCCGCACGTGGAGCCAATGTGTGGAGCCCGCATCTCCCCAGCTTGTATACCCTTGTACATGTCCTTCTGTGTTTATGGTAGGGCCCTGATTTGAATAGGGTTTCTTTACCATCTCCGCCTTCTCCTCTGTGCCAGCTACACTACTGAGCTTTTTATTTAATGCCAGTGAGGTGCAGAGCAGGCTGCTTCTGCGCTACCGGAGTGGAGGTGGCAGGGGACATAGGGGTTTTATATACTGCATTCTGGCACTGCTGGTCAGGTCAGGATATCCAGCCCCTTGGCCCTGACCCCAGCCTGGAGGTCCACAGGGTGAGTGCACCGTGGGGCCCTCCCGGCTCCAGTCTTGTTGGCAACCATGAAGTGGTTTTTTTTTTTTTAGGGCTCAGAAAGTCCCAAAGAGGCACTTTGCCCAACAAACCAGTTCCTTGGAAGTAAAAAAAGGCTTCACAAAGCCATGGACAGGGCGGGAGAAGAGGGCAGGTCGCTGCAGCGCTTCTACTCAGCTGCCGCCAAAGAGGGTAACAGGGACCTTGAGCATAGAGAGGCTCCAGGGCCGTTGGTAATTGGAACAAGCTCCATCCTGCCCGTGCTCTTCACCAGGGAGCCCTGCAGTCCTCAGTCTTGGGTCCCCAGCCACCACAAGCATCCCCAGAGCATCCCCTTCGGCTGCTCACCCCTTCCCCGCTGCCTCGCTTCAGCCCAGCTCCTCCAGCAGGAGCAATGCCAATTCCCACACCATTTGCCACCTGCAGGTGTGGGAGACATCAGTGTCCCTGGAAAGCAACAGGTGGCAAGTCCTTGGCGTTTGCTGTGCCTTGCTGTTGGCGCTTCTTGCTTGGCGTAGCTAAACACCTCCCTAGTAACACTTATCCTGAGACGGCAAGGTAATGGCAGGAATTTTAAGTCGCACTTTTAGACGCTAGCCCGCCAACAAGATGGTTGGATCAAATCATGATGGACAGCAATAAACTGCGTGGTTTCAGAATTCTAACACTAAAAAATGGCAATAGTGTATGTGATGAAATGTGTCTTTATGAAATATATTATCTGTTCCTGCTCTGGTTTTATATATATATTCATATATTTTTTTTCTTTTTTTTTCCTCCATAAATTAACTATTTCAAAACTATATTTCAATTTTAAGCCTGGGGCAATAATGCAATGAACTTTTTTTTTTTTTAAAGTAGTTCCTATTTTAATATGTAAAAGACCAGAAAACCTATTATGATGGACTTGGGTTTTTGTTTACATAATTCACTGTAATAAATAAAAGACCTATTGGTTGCATCCCACAAGGTGTAGGCCAAGTTTCTAAGGCACCACCTTGGTGAGATGCCATTCTTGAAGCAGTGGTACAGGACGAAAGTGGATTTGCCGTGTGGGGTTTGGCGCTCTTCTAACCCTCCTTTCCCAGGTCAGGCTTTGCGCTCACCTGCTGCATCAAAGCCATGAGTGAAGCAGTGAAGCCAGTGCCATTAATGCGATTAAAACCCTGGCGCAGCTGACGCATTAAACCTCGCGTTGGTCCAGGCAAATCCCATTTTCCGATGCGGCGGCTCATTCATTAGCAGCGTCTCCCTGGCGCGAGTCGCTGCAGAAAAGACTCTGCTGCAACCAGCTTCCGTGTAATGGATGGTCAGTGCATTTTTTTTTTATTTAATCAGCACAGTACAAAAATAAATAAAAATAAGGGGAGGGGATTAAATTACAGGCACACTGAGCCCCATGACACAGTCTGTCAGGTTATAAACCACACATACTTACAAACACACTATACACATACATACAAAATGAGACAAATATAAATTAATAAGTAACAATACCCACCAGTTTGGTCAACAAAGATCTACAGAAGAGATTGCACTAAAAAAAATGTACATACACATGTATAATTAGCAGATTCCAATGTACAGCAATGAAAAGCTTCAAGTGAAAAAAAAAAAAAATTAAAATGGCACATTATATCTCCCTCTCGTTTGCAAGTTTAACAACTGATGGACCAGAACTAAACTAAGAACTGTGCACACGAGGAAAAAAAAAAAAACAAAAAACAAAAAAGTTATCAGTCCCCCAGGCCTGATAAGGAAATAGGGTGTGGTGGGGGGTGGGGGGGGGGGGGTGGGGTCCAGGTCTTTGTGCATGGGTGTCATTTTTACAGCCATCTCTTGTAAGGTTTTCTTTTGTTGTTTGTTTGGTTTTGTGTGTGTGTGTGTGTGTGTGTGTGTGTGTGTGTGTGTGTGTGTGTTTTTCCCCCTTTTTTTGAAGACAAAAAAAGTTCCCCCTTTTTTTTTCTTTTTTTCTTTTTTGCATGCGCAATACCACTGTAAAAGCAACACTGAAAGAATAAAGAAGGGTTGTTCCCCCCCCCGTAGATTAGTATTTTTCTTTTTTTCATCATCGTCCTAAAAGTATTCATATAGCAGCATGTAAATCCCTTTCCTTGCTTGCACACTCAAGTAGATCCTTTTACACAATACTTATGATCAGTGCACAATGGGAACAATACATTTCACATTGATGTAAATGATACAGTAGCGGTTATATTCCCTTAACCCCGACCCACTCGGGAAATTCGAGTCTCTCCAAGGAAAATAAATAAAGGGAATGGCGGGGAAGAGCTCCAAAGCGGATGCAGCTGGCCTGGCTGAGCGCGGTAGGCCCATGGGTGCTGTCCGGCGTGAGGGTGCAGCCAGGAGGCCCAGTGCCACGCAGCCAGCCCGGTGGGCACGCATCCCCTTGCTGGCGCCCAGAGGCCAGTGGATGGGCAGGCTGGGAATGGC